AAGAAAAACCTGGTATGCAGGTTGAAGAAGAGCTTGTATGGTTTAAAACAAGCTCCTAGACAGTGGTACAAGAAGTTCGATAGCTTCATGAGTAGCAGTGGTTTTATCAGATGCCAAGCAGATCATTGTTGCTACATCAAGAGGTTCGACAACAGCTTCATTATTTTATTATTGTACGTTGATGACATGCTCGTTGCAGGCTCAGACATGCAAGAGATTATACACTTGAAGCAAAAATTGTCGAAGCAGTTTGCTATGAAGGATCTGGGCGCTGCAAAGCAGATTCTTGGGATGAGGATCAAGAGAGACACAAAGTCAGGGACTTTGATGTTATCACAGGTTGAGTACATCAACAAAGTACTCTCCAGGTTCAACATGCAAGATGCTAAACCAGTAAGTACACCTTTAGGTGTTCATTTCAGACTCTCCAAAGACCAATCACCAAAGATGGAGGAAGAACGTGCACACATGGTGAAGGTGCCGTATGCCTCAGCAATTGGAAGTCTGATGTATGCCATGGTTTGTACCAGACCAGATATTGCTCATGCAGTGGGAGATGTTAGCAGGTACATGAATAATCCGGGCAAGGTACACTGGGAAGCAGTCAAATGGATCCTCAGATATCTTCGGGGTACCACAAACAAAGCACTTTGTTTCAAAGGTGGAGATATGATACTGATAGGCTATGTAGATGCTGACTTAGCCGGAAATGTCGACATCAGAAGGATCACTACAGGGTATGTCTATACTCTAGGAGGAACTGCAGTGAGTTGGGTTTCTCAACTACAGAAGATAGTTGCTCTCTCCACAACTGAAGCAGAATATGTCGCTGTTACGGAAGCCAGCAAGGAGATGGTTTGGCTCCAAAGTTTCTTGGAAGAGTTAGGCAAGAAACAAGAAAACAATATCTTGTATTGCGACAGTCAAAGTGCTATCCATCTAGCAAAGAATCCGTCTTTTCATTCCAGGACAAAGCACATACAATTGAGATATCATTTTATCCGGTCTCTTCTGGAAGATGGGATTTTGAAACTTGAAAAGATTAGTAGAGCTCAAAATCCGGCAGACATGTTGACAAAGACGGTGACTACGGACAAACTGAAGTTGTGTTCAGCTTCAGTTGGCATGCTAGAATAACAAGACCAGACATGTTGTTGCATTGATCGAGGTGTGAAGACATATTAAAATCAGTCTTCAAGTGGGAGATTGTTAAAAGTTTCAAAGTTTGGCAACCAACTTTGGAAAATGTTTTTTCAAAGTTTGGTAAATGTTTCTTTGAAAAATGTTTTTCAAAGTTTGGTAAAATTTTGGTAGATGTTTGTTGCAAATAGGAATGGGTAAATTCACTTTAGTCATTGCACTTTAGGGTATTTTCAAAGATTAGTCCCTAAGTTTCTACTATAAATACCCTTACCCATTTAGCTTCAAAATCATCCCAAAACATTTCTTTCTTCCTATACTAGAGAGCTTTCTTGTGAGTAGTGAGTGTTTTGTAAACACCTGTAAATTTTCTCTCTTAGTAAAAGATCTGCAGCAACCCGGAGACGTAAGCACAATTGGCTGAACTCCGTTATCAATTTTCGGGTATTATTTTTCCGCTTTTATTTCGCATTCTCACTAATCTGTTTATAGGAAAATCACTTGTACTCGGTTTATTTTCCTAACAACATGCATGTTAAATTATTGTGGATCTTTACCTTTTAATGGTTTGTTCACTGCATGAATTTGAAGAAACCTACAATGGAATCTCGAATTTGTAGTTTTCGATTCAACCAATGTGATAATTTCTCAATCATCATATGGCGAATGAATTAGTTTCCTGTTTGTTCCGTTCTTTATGGGTCAGGATTAAATGACGGTTTGTCGTGTTGCCAATATGACTCAGGCAAGAAATTTTTTTTTTTCTTCCAGGGTCTTTTTTCTTAGTCCCAACAAAGCAGTTTTTGGACCTGTCTGTCTTTGACCTAAATATATTGCATTTTGTGCATAAAAAATTTACTGCATAGTTGTCACGTATTTTAGGTCTTGTATTTTGAATGGTAGGAATTATTGAATTTTTGTCTTCAATGAATACACCTGAAGAAATATCATTTGTACTTGTGATGAAGCACAGAAACAATTACATAAATAGTCGTGAAATATTTTTTGCTTAGATTTGATGATAGTAAGTAGTCTATGGTTATTGAGTTTACATCTTTTCCTGAAAATGCAATGATTTGCACAATGTCTAAATCAAATGTCCCTTGTTTTATGGCAACAGCCGGAATGAAAAGTTCAGCTACGGCTATGCAAGCTCTCTTGGAAAGAGGTCTTCGATGGAAGATTTTTATGAAACAAGAATTGATGGTGTTGATGGAGAGATAGTTGGTCTTTTTGAAGTTTTTGATGGTATATTTCTCTTACTTTATCTATGTATCTCTCCCCGATGCTTATGCACATATCTTTCTAATGGTTCATTGCACATATCTCACTTGTCCTACATATAGGTAAATACTTTTTGTAACATCCATGGCCATTATAATTTGCGTTAAAGAGTGTGTAATTCTTTTGTTTTACTCTAGTTTAGCCTTTCTTCATTTGATAATCTCTTTCTGTTCTAAGTTGAGCATTTTCTTCCTTGATTTTGCTCTGATCCCTCTGGGAGTCTGGGTAGAGCAAGATATACTGTCGTTTGTTGGACAATACAAGTGTAGTCTCAAGTTTCAGCATATAGAACGTATCTGAAAGGATTTCAGGCATATTCTGGTATTAGTTATCTGCTTCAATGCGGTAGCAATATTGGAAGCCATTGCTCATGGGTTGTTATTGGCTCAGGACAGTACTGTGGTAAACTATAAATTCTATGCTGTGGCAGTTCATTATATTCTCCCTTACATGCATCATTAAGATCGTAACTGCTGTAACATAACAGAAATCTGTTGCTGGCTTGTCATGATTAGTTAGTTGATTGTTCACTCAATCTTTACGCACAAGGCTTTTTCAGGTCATGGAGGTGCACGGGCAGCTGAATATGTGAAGTATAACCTTTTCAGTAATTTGATCAGGCATCCAAAGTTCATAACTGACACCAAATCTGATATAGGTTATCCACATTGTTACTGTATTGTTTAGTTGTCTTTTCTAGTGGGCTGGTCTAACATGTCTTTTTAAATTGTTTCCAACTCCAGCTTATCCATACAACCATACAGACTCTGAATTTTTAAAAATCAGAAAATAACCAAAATAGGGATGCTGGATCTACTGCTTCTACTGCTGTACTTGTTGGTGATTGTTTGCTAGTTGCAAATGTTGGGGATTCTCGAGCTGTTATCTGCCGAGGCGGCAAAGGTATGATTTATTGTTTTTTTCCCCTATTTTATATTCATCTGATATCTGAAACATATGATGTTGCCATTAGTTTTACCTGTAACATGAAAGCTCTATATGTTATGTTTTACTTCAGACAAGTTTAACTCGATATTCTTTCTTATGTAACTGCTCCTTTGCCCATTTAGTGTAGGTGTGTATTCAGGTTTTTTGAGAATCTTGTTGAAGAATCATTTGATTGCTGGGTAATCTATGATATTCCCTTGCAGCTTATGTCGTGTCTCGTGATCACAAGCCAGATCAAACTGATGAACGACAACGGATTGAGGATGCAGGAGGATTTGTCATGTGGGCTGGTGCGGAATACATTTAGCCATTTCTCTGTCCCTCTCTTACCATCCTATCTTCCATATAAGCTTTTCTATGCGTAAAATTTCTTCCTTTTATTCATTTCTTGTGGCGGAAATCATCTCTGTAGGAATTTGGAGAGTGGGAGGTGTTCTTGCTGTTTTGGTGACAGGCTCTTGAAGCAGTATGTTGTTGCTGATCCAGAAATCCAGGTCCGTTTGGAAGATTATGTTGTCATAATTAAGACAGAAACCTATAACAAAGAAAATCGAGAATGAAAATTTTGCAAGTAGCCTTGATTGTCAGATTTCTGTTCTGCCTGGGGATTAACAGCTTTATAGGATTCCGACTTTTGATTTTTAAGCATTCTACAACTCGTGTATCTTTGCAGGTAGAGCCACTTTTAATAGTAACGAAAAAATTGAGTCCTTTTATTCGTTAGCTAACGAAACTTTATAGTAATAGTTTCGGAATGCTTAACAACTTTATAGCTAACGAAAAAATTGAGTCCAAATAAACTTGAATAGTAATAGTTGGTCATAGAAAAGAAAAATCTTTGTATCACGCACATAGAGGGGTTTCCAGGTGTGGATTTATGTAAAGAATGTCGAGACCTTCTATGTTGTAAATGTAGTTGGCTTCTCTTGTAGTTAGTTCCATGTTTGTGATATTTCCTTTCAGAAAGGAAACTAAGAGTCTCACTGTCATCAGTATTATTTGTTTTCCTTATTCCAAGAAGAAAATTACATGGCTAATCATGGTTTGGTATAGTCCGTATAGAGTGAGTGTTACTCATCATGTTTAACTCTATTCACACCTCACTTCAGTTTTCGGTTGGGTATTTAAAAATATTTATGTTTGATTATTAAATTAAAAGATAAAAAATATGTTTACCTATGATTAATTTGTTTATTACTTATGAATACATTTTTAATTACTATTAACAAATAGATAATCATTGAAAAGAGTGGGAATTAAATTTAATCTAAATTTAAAACAATAGCTGCTTAAGGTTTGCTTTCCCATAAACAAATTGTATTGGATGGTCAGCAAGTGCCCCCCGTTTCCTGCCTTGAAATATAGGCAAATTGATGGTTTCTCGATCTTCCAGGCTAGAAAACTACGTGCTTGGAGGTCTTTATTCTTCCACTTGTGTAATCCTTGAACAAAAGATCATTCCTTAAATACTTCATGCCATAGAATTTTTGTACTATTCAGCAATCATTACGGAGTCGGTTGAGGTTTTGTTTTCCTCTCCGTTTCTGCCCGCAAATGAACAGGGTTTTGCGTAATTAAGTTGAGCAGTTGTTAGGCCAAGTGTATGAAGAATTCAAGATTGTCCTGTACTGAAAATCTTAATGACGCAGCTCAAGGTTCTCTTACGTCTATTTTTAATCTTCTCTTGCAAAATTTACATTTCCCGATGACCCAAAAAAACCAGCAACTTCCGGGGACTAATAAGGAAAAACCCAAAAGAAACAGACAATTCTCTCCAAAAGAAACGGAAATCAGCTAAGTGGTTTAGTTTTGGTGTTGGGTTGGTTGTTGTCTGTCATGGTTGTGTGTAATCGTTGGCAATTGATGATGACCATCGTCCATTTCTTGTTTCATTTTCTCATCATTTTCAGTAGATCCTTGCATGTCCCTTTTTGAGTCGCCATTTTGATCACCAAAATTGGAAGCTTTACTGAAAACAGGGGTAGCCAAGAAGGTGGGGGTGAGTTCACCAGCCATTATGACCAGTATTTTGTCATTGTAAACCTTAACTTGGTTGTTTGAATCGTCCTCAGAGTCGTCTCCTCCTCCGCCGTCGTTATTGTTGTCGAAGCGAGCAGAGACGGCTCTGTAGGAGCAAGCCAAGATGAGGAGAGCAAAAGCTATGAGAGCCAACATTGCTGAGAGGCCGCTGAAGAGGTAGGACACAAGGGAGTGCCATTGGGAACGTGGTGGAGACACCATCAAGGGCTTTGGTGCTGCTGCTGCTGCTGCTGCTATTGTCTTAATAGGTCTCATTGTTTTGAGTTTGTCTTTAATGGTGGTAGAGGAAATGAAGGTTAAAGCACCTGATCAACGCACACACAAAGCCAGGCCAGGGTGTTATTTATAAGCAGCTAAACTTAAGCATTGGCGGGGGGCTTTGGATAAATGTGCTTTTCCAATTACATATGCAATACTACACCAAACCAAAAAAGTATGTGTATGATCTTTTAACCTGATGCTGATTCTATCCTCCACAATTCCATATCTTTCTACAAATCAAAATCTTGGATATTTATGTTCCGTATAAAAGCAAGTATGGCTGATGGTACCTACAAAGGAATGTCCTAAACTTGGCCATTAACCATCATTAGAAGCCAAGCCTGCAAGAGCATTGTTTATTGTGGAACAAGAATCTTGTCCTACCCCGCCGTTGAAAACATTAACCCATTGTAAATGCAAGAGGGAGATGCAGTTAAAACGCACTGAGTATTGCTGATGGAGGCATCCACTACAATCATTATATATATAACAAAAGCATAATCTTTGCTTTTGTGGGTAGTGGTAATATTATTTTGTGATTTTCATCATTTGTTGTATAATTTATTTCACTCTTCTTTACCATTTATTCGTTCCATATAACTTCGGCCTTCACTTTATGTGTATAAAAGAGGGAGAAAAAGTGTTTGTTCATAAATCAAATTCAATATTTCGTATTAAGAAAGCCTTGGGTTATTGTACAACTTTGAACTTGTTAGTTAATCAATTCCTATTATGAAAAACTGCAGAACATGATTGATGGATAAGGTGGGCTATTATGGAGATAATTAATCAAAGTGGGTAATGATGGGAATCCCACTTCATGGCGTATCTGTAGAGGTAGATTATTAAGATTGTGTGTCCATAAAGACACCAAAAGCCAGTGGTAAGGATATGCATGTTTTGTTGGATATATGTAGTGATTAAAGCTACAACATTTGGTGTGTGAGTGAGGGAGGGATCTTTCAAACACCAAGAGTGGTTCATGATATCACCTTCTGTCTCTGCTTTTTATTCATGCATAGCTACTACTACTAATCATGTACTGATTGCAACTAATTAAAATGGATCCTAATAGATTTGTTTCATTATTTTAACTCGTTGAATGATGCAATCATTACTCTCCACTCACAAAAATATCGCATAAGGATTTGGGGTCTTTTTTGTCACAATTGGAAGAAGGGGTGGGCAACCCACTTGAATGGGATCTATGAATATCAATTATTTTTTCCTTTAAACCACTTTACAATTAATTTATCCTTTTCTGTTGAAATTAGGCTGTTCAAACAGTTTTTTTTCTTTAAATAAGGATTGACTCGTGGATTAGTTGAAACTCTATATATACTTTGCACATATGCATACGTCGCTTTCATTTCAGGCTACATGTGAAGTTGCACATGAAGAGGTTGACTTTGTAACGTCGGGGATCTCTTCAAGGGAAATGAACTAACATACTCCTCACTATACTTGTGTATGTAAGAACCGAACTCTCATTTGATCGTGTAATAAAGATCAAAATTGGTACATTTGGAAAAGCTTCGTACGGTCTATTGATGACTGGAGTAAATTATTTTCATGTTCCGTTGGGACTCAGTTACAGTATTTTCCCTCAAATTCCCGAGATGGGATTCCGACCGTCCATCCGCCACCCGAAGTGTTCGAAGGTGGAATTAAAGAATGGGGTCTCTCGCTTGTGGGGCAATTTCTCGGGGATTAGCTTCTCTGCAACAAATTATTGATACTCTGTGGAGAAAACCCTTGCAAGGAGCAAATGTGCAGATCATCTATGCAGGTAACAACCTTTACCTATTTTCATTTAGTTCAGAACAAGCTCGGAATTGGGTATTAGAGAATGGCCCTTAGCACATCTTCAACAAACCATTAATCCTTAGAAAATGGGTACCGAACATGGAAAAACTGCATCTTGATTTATCAAGAATTCCAATATGGGTACATTTATATAATGTTCCCCTTGAATTGTTTAACTGCGAAGGCCTTAGCTATATTGCAAGTGCCATCGGTCACCCCTTTCAATAGATTCTATCACTGCCTCTAAATCTAGGTTAGAATTTGCAAAAGTATGTGTTGAAATTGGGGCATCTGATGCTATTCCTAAGTCTATTGATGTAGTTCTTAACAACGGTCAAACAACTTCGATTGTTGTCGAAGTTCCGTGGATGCCTCATAGCTGTAAAAACTGCAATGTGTTCGGTTATAGTGTTAAAGGATGTAAGCATAATCCAATTCCTCAAGCCTTAACACTGGTTTGGAGGGAAAACGTTTCTGCTTCTCCATTCCCCCTGGATACCGAAACTATTTGCACTGATGATAAACAAAATTCAATGTCTGCTGATCCTAATTCTTCTTTGAACAAATCTTCTAAGGATATCGAAGCAGAGAACCAATCTTCCTTAGAGCCACATCATTCAGAAAATGTCTTCAATGCTTCGGGTGAACCCATAATATTAGTCTCTTCTACGGTTAATGATCAATCAACACCTTCTGATCCTATTGATAAATATAATTCCAAAATACTAGACCAGCTTGATAATTCGGCAGATATCATTTCTGATCCTCCACTCCTTAATAAAAGGATTAGAGGAAGGCCTGTTAAAGCTCATGATGCACTAATAGGGTCCAGTAACCGATTTGAGTTACTAAACAAGATTGATGAGACTCACCCTACCTTAGAGTTTCAAGGTAAAAAAGTAAGAGCAACAACTTCTGGTGTTGCTGAATTGATCAAAGAACTCAAAATAAAAAATAAGGCTAATCTTGTTAAATATAAGGGTTCTTTAGTAGGAAGTAAAGGAGGGGATTCGGGCTCCTCATCCCAAGCAAAATGATCATTTCCTTTTAGAATGTAAGAGGATTAAATAGTCCTCTTAAACAAGGCCAAGTCCTTCGAAGGGCAGCTAAGAATAATGTAGATATCCTATGCTTGATGGAAACTTGAGTGAAAGTAGAAAAATCAGATGAATTATTAGCTACTTCTTTTGAGAATTGGAATGTTCTCACCAACTATGACTTTGCAGTGAATGACAGAATATGGTTCTTGTGGAGGAAAGGTTTGGATTTCTCCTTATGTAATGCTACGGATCAGAGTATCACTGTCAAAGGTCTGTTTATTGGTGCTCCATTCATTATTACCGCAATATATGGTAGTAATAATGGCATTATTAGAAGACAACTTTGGCAAGAACTTCAACATCTTGAATATAATTATAGAAACCTCCCTTGGCTCTTGGGAGGTGACTTTAATGTCATCCTGAACAATTATGAAAGTTCTAATCTAGAGCTTATGGGTATGATCACCTCCTCTGACATGTTAGATTTTCAAGAAATCACTTAGGATTTACAGTTACAAGATCATCCTTTCTTTGGTCCTACATACTCGTGGAGTAACAAACAAAGTGACAATTACCTTGCTCGGAAACTCGACAGACTTCTCATTAATCCTATATGGTTCGAACATTTTCCTCACTCTTTTGTGGAATTCTTAGCACCTGGTCCTTCTGATCACTGTATGGCAGTGGTTGATCTTTACAAAGAGGCCCATATAAATAGACCCAAACCCTTCAAACTCTTCAACTGTTGGACTCTTCATCCAGAGTTCCTTAACATTGTTAGTTAATATTGGAATATGGAAGCACAAGGCAACCCAATGAAGTCTTTATTCCTAAAGCTTAAACGCCTCAAAGCCAGTCTTAAACAGCTCAATAAAGACTATTTCAGTGACATCTCGGCTCGAACTAGACAAAAAAAAGAATAGACAAAAAAGAGAATAACTTCATAGGCAACAAATTCTTACCTTAAGAGGTGATGATTCCATGGAGAAAGAACTCGAGTTGCATAGAGAGTTCAATTCTTTAGAAGAAGCATAGACCATGTTCTTAAAACAAAAAACTAAAATGCATTGGCTAAAGGAGGGTGATAAATGCACAAAGTTCTTTCACTCAGTCATTGCTACTAAGAACAAGAGACAGACTATAAGAGTCATTGTCAACAATCGGGGGGAAAGACTTGAATCATTCGATGAAATGTCCTCGGAAATAATTGAGTTCTTCAATAATATTTTAGGTTCTAAGGATCCAAAAGTAAAAGATTGCTCTCCTACACTTCTTAAAGGTCTTATGCAACCAATTTCTTCACTTGTAAACCCTAAAACTCTTATCAAGGAAGTTACTAATGATGAGATTAAAGATGTTATGTTCAGCCAAGGTAATGACAAGGCTCCCGGACCCGATGGTTTTACATCTATCTTTTTCAAGAAAGCTTAGCCAGTGGTTGGTAATTATGTTATTAAGGCAATAAAGTATTTCTTTCAAGAATCATTTATTTATCCAGCCTTTAATGCAACCACTATTGCTTTGATTCCTAAAAAGCCAAATCATAGCAAAGTTTCCGACTTTCGACCCGTTTCTTGTTGCTCGGTTATTTACAAGACCATTACAAAGATTCTTGTCAATAGAATGACCAATCTGCTGCCAACAATTATTGCACCTAATCAATATTATTTTGTCAAAGAAAGGAGTATAGTTGATAATACCCTTCTTGCTCAAGAAATCGTTAAAGGATATGGGAGGAAGCTCATTTCACCTAGGTGTGCACTGAAAATTGATCTTCAAAAGGCCTTTGACTCTATCAATTGGGACTTTATTAATGCAGTTCTTAAATCTATGGATTTACCTCCTAAATTTATCGATTGTATTGTTTCTTTCTATACGGATGCTAGATACTCCATTGCTCTCAATGGAAGCTTGGTTGGATATTTTAAGGGAGCAAAAGGAATCAGGCAAGGAGATTCGCTTTCCCTTATTTTGTTTGTTCTGGTTATGAATGTGCTCTCTAATATTCTCAATAATGTTGCTTTCAGAGGGATTTTTTCCTTCCATCCTAAATGCAAGAAAATTGAACTCACCCACCTGTCATTTATGGATGACTTATTAATTTTCTGCAAAGGAAACCTTGAGTCTGTTATGGGAGTCATCACTGTT